GGTTACTTCAAGTGACTATAAATTTAAGCAGATAAATACAAGACTATCTAGTGAAAAAATGAAAATATTTGACTGCAAAAGTACAGCTGGAGGGTAAGACACAATGTTATTTGAGGAACAAGACAATAAATCCCCAGGAGTTTGACTTCCAGGATACACTCAGGTTGAGATATATATGAGCACCCCAGAGAGTATAAAGTTCAGGGTCACAGAGAGTTTCTTGCAAAATTTTCTGACTGTAGACAAAAATCTGACGGAGTATTTCAGGTTGTTGCCAGTTTGCAGTAAACTATGATGATAACACTTGGTATCATTCTAGAAATAGTGTGTTTCATCCATGCTTTCCACATGGCTTTGAAATAGTGATCCAGTTAGCAGGTGCTGCAATTTCTCTCTGGTACTGTGTGGTTTGATCTTGTGGAACATGATGTAAAATTTATTACTTCCTGTACTCCAAAATTGGCCATTTCATTGGAATAAAATAATTATATCTTAAAATGCCTCTTACAGTCTTCTTTATGAGAAAAAAAGCACCAAAAATTACAAACTCACATCATATGAACTCATGTAGAGCTCACCTTCATCTCTATGCAGGCAGCTGATATCAGTTGTATCCTGTGCTCACTTCACCAAATGGGTTGTACATGAAGATGAAGCAAAAACAGTTAGCCTTAAAGTAAGCATAATATTTGCCAGCGATTTCCTACCCAGTGTAGCACTGTCAGTCTCTTCTTTACATCTTATGACTCAGTATTCTTATAAAAGGTGTCACAACTTAGGATTCATAATTTTTGCCACTCAGCTCTATGTGCAGATATGTTAATGTAAAGAAACTAACACTCCTTATCAGTATGTTGCTGATTGCTGCCAAAATAGTTCTGTTGTACAGAACTGGATGCCAACAGAAGCCCCTGGTATACACAGAGCCAATGTTTTCCTAAGCATGCATGTCATACCTTCCTGCAGCCCTGAAACCTGGGGCTGCATTATCCAGGGTTAAATTGCAGCAACTGCATTCGTTGCCCAGGAGAAGTCAGTGGGGCATGAAAAGTGCATGTGATATTACACTCCAACTGAATGAAATCATCTCAGCTGATGCACTAAAAGCATAGAGCTAAACTGCACAGCTGAGTTTCATATGACAAACTGTCAATCAATGAATTAAAAGTCAATCCTGACTGAACAAAGCAGATACCACTTTGTGTTCTGTGCTGTTGTAGAAATTATATCTGATAGTTAATATTTTAGCAGTAGCACCTCTACTACATCTTTTAATGTATTGCAATTTTTTTCATGTATGTGGGGAAAGGTGATGTCATGATTTTTCTGTGTTTCATAATCTATATATACTTTTTATATGTCTGGTTAATATATATTTTCTTTTTCTGCATGAGAAGACAGATATATACAATAAAAATAAACTCTTTAGAGGAAAAAAAGCTGTAGCCAAAATATTTTTTTTTTCTTAGGTGTCTAAATTGATTTGTGAGTAAATAGTATTCTTTGTACGTTTTACAGTCTATTCTTCCAGTGTCCCTCTAACATTATTTTAAAATGACTGAGACTATGTACTGAAGAATGCTAACATTAGATACGAGATGCAGTGAGTCAGTAACCTCTGCCTTAGCTTCCTTTCTTTGGCTGCAGCTGAAATTGCCTGGACTGGTAAGAGGAGAGGGGTGTGAGGCAGCAGAAACCACGGGGCAGAAAGAGGCCACTGCAGGGATTCATCAGGAAAGGTAAAGGGGAGAACAGAAGTAGCAGGGTGTGGGAATCCAGGGCATCCCTCTGGCTGCCCTGGAAGGTCTGGGACCCTGGCAGGGGTCAGGAACCCCCCTTGGACAGAGCCCCCAGAGACACTGTCTGTGATCTCTGTCCATGGAAAAGAGTTTTCAACCTTACAGGATGAATTACAAGCTCTGAGTGATATCAGTAATAATTAAGTGTGGCACAGGTGCAAAAGTAAAATTTTAGGTTTCTAGATTAGGGGTTCAAAGGGCACAAGAAGGAGGAAATTGGGTGTGTTTTGTCCTTTTTTTCCTTCTTCATGCCCTCCATGTTTCACTGTGGTGTTGGCATTTTTCTGTTGGTTCAGGCTGGGGACACACTGTTCAACGTAGGTGACAGATATTGGCACGTTATTGTAAATCCAGCACAGGTAGTTTGTGGTATTTAATGTTTGTAACACCCCACTGAGGGCAGAGCCCCACACGCTGCCCTGCAGGACAGAGCTGCGGCAGGGCAGCAGAACATGTTAGAGATAAACAGAATAAACAACCTTGAAACCAGCACAGACGAATTATGGCTTCTTCTTTGGCAGCGGGGCTGAAAGACAGAGACTTTCTACAATCTCAGAATCATCAATACCACAGATTCCGACAGCAGGGAATGAGAAGAAGGCAGAAGTAACAGGAAACATAAGTGTTGAAATATGGTCCACCAGCCTCTAGATGTCTTTTTGCTTGGAAGATCAGGAAAGAGCCATGATCCTTTGTATATATTACAGCAGGTATATTCCAAAGGTCTAGTCTTTAGGGCAGAATGTTATTCAGCTCACAAACATATTGCTGCAATGAGCAGGCATGACAAGAAACTGAAATGGACATTGCAAGAACTTGGGAAAAGACACTGGAGAACTTAAAAGCAGTGCTCCAGCAGGCATGCCCTGGACTTGACTTGCTACTGGACTTCACCTGACACCGTGATCAAATATCCTGCTTTTGTGACCCAAGCTCAGTGATATGCACAGGGATATGCAAATTTTAGCCATTTATCTGATGTTACTTCTGCTGCTGGGGCCACACCAGCTTGCAGTATACTCATCTCTTTCCATTCACAAAACTGCTGCTCACCTTTTCTACAGCTGTTCTGCCTTTCCTCACCAGCTAGGGATAAAAGGCAGACTTGTATTCGTGGGTGAGGATGCTGCACCCTGTTTATGGTAAAGGTTTTCATCTCATACAAAAGGCTTTATTATTATTTCTGAAGGTAACCTGCAACTAAATAATCCCATCTACAGCATGTAAAAAAAGAAAACCATTCTTTTGCTGTTTCTATATACAAGTGACAAAATGTTGCCTAAGTTTGGCTGACCTTTCAGAGCTAATATAAAAAATATTTTTCCAAGTACTAGATGTCCTAATAAACCAAGGGAGGAAAGCTCTTCTCTGGCTTGTATCACTCTGTAATAACTAGCAGAATTTGGTGATGTTTTCATGTAGGGAAGTCCTCACTTCCGAAACAGCATTAACATTTTAAGATGTTACTCTCTTCAATCCTGTGTTATTTTCCTTCATTATAAGGGGCTAGAGTTTCTGCCTCCTGAACTCAGAGACAGTCACAGATTGTGCAAATAGGACAAATGCACTTCAGTGTGCTCAGGAGAGTCCCTTTAACCTGAAATTGGCTCACACTAGGTCTGGTTGGAATATTCATGGAAACATAATAAGGATTCTCACATGGTCTTGTGAGCATGACTCACTTGAGAGCCAGTAACTCCCTAAATCATTTCAGTTTGTTCCACAAGAGCACATTTCCCTCAAGGCTGCTCTGTGTTCATGAAGTTCAGAAAAGCATGAAGCCTCAGGAGCTCTGCAGTGAGTGTCTCCCCACATTATGCCTTCTCTTGGGGATGAAGTGTGAGAAATCAGAAAATCCTCATCCTTTGTAATCATGGAAAGGTTTGCTCCTTTCCTTAAAGGTTCTGGCATGGTTATGATGACCTTTTTATTATGTGTGATGTTCAGATATAACTTGTTATACACTGTCACTGTTGTATCATCTCTGCCTTCTGTCTTGTTTGTTCACTTTAACATTTCAAGCAGTTTATATTTTTATCTTTTAAGGGTACTCTCCCCACCACAAATGTATTCACCCTATCCTTCTTTGCAATCACATGCAGCAAGGCCTTTCAATGTATGAAATGAGACTTGTGCATGGGCTTTGTCCACCTTGACTGTCTGCATTAGCATGCTTCAGCTAAGTAATGAAATAAAATGCTTTTCAACATCATCTGTATGAAGCTATAGGGTGCTACTACAGAAGATTAATGGTTTCAGCTGGTGTGCTGACAGGCAGAGAGGGGTCACTGCTGCCCTCTTGTTCCAGACAGAATTCCTCTCCTTGCAGAGAGGGTGCACTCCTCAGGCCTTGTGACAGACTGACATAGGATTTATTTTCTTGGCAGAAATAAGAGTTGGGGTGGAAACTTGTATGTATTGTACAGCAAATCTTTTGGTTTTTTAAATTTTTCTTTAGTTAAAAAGGTCAAACATATTTTTTTGGGAACGTAAAACTCTTCTCATTCATCCCAGAAACAGAAACTGTTGTAACATTAGTAGGTAACTTTACATTTCCTTTCACCACTGAACATATAAACCATGATGGAAAGACTGTTTCACAATCTCTCAGAATAAGCATATTGTGTATTGCATCTTAACTAGCTCTGTTACAGGATAGGTAAATCATAAGCTGCTTTCTTAGGCTAACTTAGGCTACTCTTAAGGTATTTCCTTAGTCAGCCTTTACCTTGAAAATTTTCTCACATAGTTACAGGATATTTTCTTTATTTGTACTAATTTATTGCTTTCTAAAGTTAATCTCTCTTTCAAGAGCTACTGGTGTCTCTTCTTTTTGCAACAGATTCTGGTCTTGTTTTTGTTGCCAAAACCATTGCAAAAAGTGGTTGAATGCATTGGATGTGTTTCATGCCAAACATGAATGTTTAACTTCCTTTTATTTATATCTAAAATTAATGTTCCAATCTTTAATGATAAAAAGCCTAATTATAAGCAATTTGATTCAAATCACTAGTTACTGACTATGTCCTCTACTAAGTTAGGCCTAAATGGGGAATTTGAAGAAGCATTTCCAGAAGAGAGAAGTGGTTAATCACCCCAGTTTTGTTAACTGCCTCTAAAAAGATAGTTTTTATTCTAATTAGAAGTTGCTTCTTTGGACACCATATAGTCATTGCTTAAATCTGATCCTTTACCCTATAGCTGTTTCAAATCCTTCTGAAGAGCTAACATTTGATCCAGTAGAAGAGAATCTTCGAATGCAAATTGAAGAAGAAAAAAAAAGGTACTACTTCTGCCTCAGATTTCTACCATCCTTCAGAAGATAAATTATACTGATAGTATATTTCAATTACAATTCTGCACACACAGCTACCCTCAGGGTTTTCTCTGACATTTTAAAAATATCAGCTTTGTGGTTCACTAATAGTTCTGAATTTCTGTATGTGCTGTTGGTTTGTCTATCAGATGCCACAGTAGAAGAGAGAGGAAAATTTATGCTTGAGCTAAAGGTTAAAAATAAATAAAAACAACTAAATGTCCTCCCTGAGGATTAGTGTTTGCAACTTGTTGTTTGAATCCAAATGTATTGTGAGCCTTTTGGGTGGATTCAGAAAAGTCCTGCCTTTCTTGACCTAAAGAGAACATTTAGGTTATACAGGACTCACTAAGTGGAAATAATATGCAGAATACCCATGGTAAACCAACCCTTGCCAAACAGATAGAAAAATAGATACAAGGATGTCAGTATGAAGTATTTTGCTAACATTTGTTATTCACAATCTCTGAGGAAACTTCTGGCTCTTTCTTACTCTTGGTAAATCTCCAAGTGTATAATAGCCAAGAGGGTTATGAAGCTTCCATCTAACAGGGGAACCAGCCTTAGCTCCTATCTGAGTCCAAGATATCAGTTATTTATTAATGGTAACATGTTGATAATTCAAAAGAAATAACTTTCATAGTTGATCAAACACATATTTTAACTGTCTATCAATGCTGATCCCACTTGAATTCCACTAACTTCATAATGAAATAAAAGGTTTGTGGAATAAGTTTCTTGCACTTACTGTCCCATGAAGCTTTTGTAAAATATGAGATGTTTCCTTCTACCATCTGTCTGTGTCCTCTGCATCTCTAATTATTACACATTGTTTTATAGTTTAAATCTCTTAACAGTTCTAGGTAGGATTAACCTTTATTCAGATATATGTTGGGAAATCTGTAATACACTTTTTTCATCTCATATTAGCTATAAAACAGTGTACAGTCGCTTCAAAGGGCTGAAGGTAGAGATTGAGCACTTGCAGCTTCTTATGGAAAAAGTGAAGATGAAGTTACAAAAAGACTTTGAAATCTGGTGGGCTGAAGAGGCAAAAAAATTCCAGGTATGAAATAATTTTGTATTTCTTCCATTTTCATATAAATATAACATCTTCAATAATTTCTCAAAGAAGTAGTTAATTGACTAGTTAGAAAGGAGTATGAAGGATGGAGTTCAGGGTCTGGTTCACCTGTACTTATGCCAAAGCTAGCTGGACAAAAATAATGTGAATTATACTTGTGTGAAGCTAAAAAAAATTAAACAAACCCATTTTTTTTCCTGCTATATTTTCTGTTTTGATGTTCTCCCAAACAACTTGATTACTAGGGAAGTATGGGCCCAAAATACCAACAACTATGAAAGAATATTATCAGATTGCAAAAAATAATATTTTTTACTACTAGCAAAACTATTATTTCATTAGCATTTTTTGCAGCAACTATAATTAATTTTTAGTTTCCTTTGCTTGCAAAGACTCTAGTAACTTTTCAGCTTCTCTAGGCTCCCAGAGAGTCATCAGCTCCCAGCACAGTGTGTTTTCTCACTGTCTAGCTGAAGTCCACCAGTGTTTAAGCACAGAGTGCTATAATACAATGACTCGTGTAAAAATGAACTAAAGACTTATATTTTGGTTAATTCTCATTAGTATAAGTTTAAACCTTATTTTTAAGAAAACAGCTTAAAATAAATACAGAATTTAACCTAGGTAACTTAGTTATTCATACACTGCCACCTAAGCAGATTAACTGCAAGTTAACACAAATACTTTTCCAGTTAAAATCCCTATCTATATTAGTGGCAAAGAGGATAATGTTTTAGTCACCTTCCTGTGTAAATATTTAGGCTTTACGAAGCACTGCGAGTAATATTCTTGAATCCACAGCAGCACATCTTTCTCCATCCCTTAAAAGGAGAGTTCCAGGATTAAACCTCTCATGATTCATCAGTAGAAGATTATAAAACTGGAAAACATAATTGGGATTAATTTCTTAGATCTTGACCTATCTGTATATCTGAGCTCCCTAAGAAACTGAAATCAGTGAACATATGCTGTTACATATTAAAAACCTGTAACTTGAGCTTAAAAATACTTGAACCAATCCTAAATACTTTTCTCTTTGTTCAGAAGTGTTTGTACAAGTGGAGAAAATACTGTGTGATTCAGGCTCTGTGTTTTCTGAATGAGTCATTGCTTACCTTGTTATTGCTGAAATGTATAGGCCAATATGAAGAACTTTTAAAAAATCCTAGCCTCATAATTTTGTTTTTCAATCTAAACCCAGCAGGAAAAGTCAGAGATGGTTACTTCACCAAATACTGTCACTGTTTACCCACATTTTACCAGATCCTCGCAGCATCTATCACCTAGCAGGTAAATTGTTTATTTTTCTCTTCCTTCCTTACATGGGAAAAATGCAGTTTATTAAAAGTGAAGTTGTCCAGAATGCTTTTACAAATATCACACTGAAACACTGTATTTTCAGTTACAACAGAAACAATTGTGTAGACAATTAAATTTTATCATTCAGTTATTTGGAAGTCCTATTGAAGGTAGGACCTCAGTTCTTTTGACATGCTGGTCTTGGAATCTAGGAAACCTTTCTCTAAGGACCCCTCAACAGCTAAGAAAGGCAAGCCTGTTATCAGTCAGTTTTGTGTATGAGGATACTATATCTCCTTTAGGATGTATGTAGGGGACTTCAAAACATATTAAAAAATTATTTCATACATATCCTAGATAGACTTGCTCCTGAAAAATGTCATAGTAGTACATTTATGCAGCATATTATTCCACAATGGTATTATATTTGATACTGTAAGATGGTGCTGTGTCATCTACAGGAGTAAAATGTAATCATCTTGATTGTTTCATCAACAGTCACCTCTGATTTCAATAGCTCTTATTTAAATTTGCAGTCATAGGTTTTTCATAATGATCAGGGAAAGTAGTGTGCAAGAAACCACATACCTAACTGTACAGATTTCCATATTCAAGGACAATAAAAGGAGGTGCTCCCTTCCTTATTCCTTTCTCCCTCCCTCTTCCTCTTTTCCTCGCCACCTTTCTCTTGCTCTCTTTTCCTGTCTCTCTCCCTCCTCCTTCTTGTTATGCAATTAACATTTCTCTGATGAGTTGCTTTACCTACATTTTTATGACAGCAATCTGCATAAGTGATGTTTTCCCGTTTTCTTAAAACTGTAAAATAGCTTCTAAGTTTTATTTAACACTCTCATGTATCTGTAGTAAATCCTCTGTAATCAGTACAGGAAATGATAGACATTGTCCTCTAAAGTTTTCTGAGAAGACATTTTCAGATCTCTCAAACTGATGAAAACCAACTCCAGTCTTCTCTTTGCTTTGGTTCTTTCTCTGTGTCCTCTCAAGACTTAAGCATTAATCACTTTGCAAATGGTTGGCAGGTTTTAGGCCTAATCTGTGCTGTTCATTTTGACTAAGGTTGACTGGATAATTCTTGCATAAATATCACAGACACAGAATATTTATCTTGTGGAACTAAAATTGTAGAGAGAGTTGGGATTAATGTAGTTTTATCTTTCCAACTCTATCAATATTCTTGCAATAATCTTTAAAAGTCAAGCACTCTTTCGTTCCTATGGTTCTAGAAAGTTGATCTTATTTTATGTTAGGCTGTTAAAACATATTTTACTCAGGTACATTTCCAGTGGCATATATATGGAAGTAGAAACACTATTTCTGCTTTTTCTGAGGCAGGAGCTACAGGCTTAACCTCCCACTGTGCATGAAAATTTACTTTTTCCCCTACCCGAGTCAATAACATCTTAGAGTAATGATTTCAAATTTCAAAGACTTTAAAAGAATAAAATAGTAGAATATTTATTTCCCAAGGATTTCCTTGGCCCCAGTTGTCACAGGAACTTTACTTACCATTCCCATAATTGTGTAGAATGAATCGAGGCTACAGGCACATCTTTTCCTGAGACACAAATGGCTCTTTTTTTCTAACTTGTATAGAAATCAGCCATCTCTTTCTTTGGAAATTATATTGCTATCTTCACCCAGCAGAATAGCCAGCCACCAAAGCAAAAGCTGACATAAATTATGCTTGATATAATGTGGTGTAAATAAAACCTGTTTCCAAGATGGAATTCAGTTAACAGGTGATATTCTATATCTTATAGAGATAAGATCTAAAACTTAGTAGGCTAAATTCTAAGACTGTTGACAGAGTAAGTATGCAGTAAAACCATCCATCCTGAGTGGGAATGGATGTAAATACAATTTTTAGGGCTAGAAAAAATAATTTCAATAACTCAGCATGTAAAAGACACAGGTGCATTCCTAATCTTTATATGTGTTTGAACAAAGTCTTTTGATCACCTTCTAATGTATGACTTGTGTGCATTGTTATGGTTTGACACACCTTATTTCTAGAGAAAATTAAGCCTTGGGAAAGCTCATATTTTATTTTATATTAAGTTAACTTATAATTAAAATAGCAGAGAAGGGAGGCTGGTAATCATTTTGAGTCTTAAGAAGGATGCACACACCTAAAAGGCACTTGATTAATGGACAAATATGTCTCTTTTTTCAGTTGAAAAACTGGCTGAATTGTTAAAGTGTCAAAATGAGTCTCTGTTAATAAAAGAGTTGAATAGTGACCATTTCTGCCTCAGTCAGTGAGGTCTGAAAGCTGTGGTGCTACCTGCAACTCACACTGAATATATGTTTATGTCTCTTAATGGATTCCTGTCAAGTCTGCAAGAAGTCTGAAAATGTATGTCGGGCTCAGCACTCCATATGTGTTCCACACATTCAGAATTTGAGCACAGCCTTTTGTTCTTCCTCATACAGTCTTTCCTACAATGGCTTTCATTTGAGGAATTTATCAGATCCTTGTCTATTCAAATTGCTTCTCTCACTGAACGTTTCATTTTGGTAGTGTTGCACTGTTCTTGTATTCTCTTTGAATCATACAAATGTTAGATAGTTATTCGAATCTTATAACATTTTGGATTTTTTTTCCTTCTCTTAGATGGAATGCATTCCTTTTTATCTCAGTCAAATCTTTCTTAACCTCACTAATTTCCTGTTACTGAATCTCATTTGTCCTATTCCAGCAAGCCCCACAGTATGCTCAACCTCAGACTCCTCAGCTGTTCTGTTTCTTATTCAAAATCTTCCTGGCACTTTAAATTCCCTTGGAGCCATTTTCAAATAAATCTTCATGTTGTCTGATGACTCTGAGCATCAGATTTTTTAAAACTTATTGTCCTGGATTCCAAGAGTTGCTCCCTATACTAATGTTGTGTAAAACAAGGCCAATGTTTACATATCTTACAGCACTTTCTGTCTAATAATTTTTTATTCCTGCCAATTTTCTGCAGCGTTACATAATGATAAAAACATAATCTGGGAATAACATCATCAATTAGCGACATTTCAAAAGTTTTCACATTCTTTGGTAACAACTGAAACAACTTATCTATGAATTTGCAAGTTAGGCCAAATCTAATTTTGTAGCCAAATACGAAAATGCTCAGTATTAAGCAGCTTGAATCTTTCCTGTCTGTGCACTGAACATCTGTTCCCCTCATGTCCAAAACTCAGATAATTGGACAACTGCAGCTGAGGTTTTCTTAACATTACAGATGTTGCACACCTTCACATTTTCAATTTCCATTTCAATCTACCTGATTTTCCATTATTTTTCAGCTGCCAAATTAAGCACTCATACCATGACATGCATCATCTCTGCAGCTCTTCTACCCTGTGTACTTGATGGAGCTGATCTGTCCACAGACCAGTTGTCTCTGGTCCTTGGGTTCCTGCAACAAGAGAAAAGCTGCTGCAACCCTGTGTACATCTCTATGATCCCTGCCCCATGCCTGAGTGAGAAATACACCCACAACAGAGGGTTCTCCCCCCATCACCCCCCAGAAAAAGAGAGTTATCCACTGGGTGAAACATCAGGTACTAGGTTATGAAAGCAAACGGACATGTAAACTTGACAGACTATCTTTAGTCTCCAGAAAAAGTAGGAATTTTGCTGAAGCTGTCAGGAAACAGTCTTTGAGATTTCTTAAATTCAACTAATAGAAAAATCAGATAGATTGAAAATGAAAATGGGAATTATACACTGTCAAAACAAGCTAAATAATGTTAGAGGTTAAACCTGGGACGACAGACAGAAGCAAGACTTACATACCTTGTATGTCCACCCAAATCCAAAATGTGATCCAGTCATGTCTGTTTGCACATCAGAGGAATGTTAAATGGCACCTCTAGAGATCTCTGGATCAAGCCCTTGCTTGAAGAAGACTTTCATCACACTAAAGTGAGTCAGGCATGGTTTTGTTTGGCTTTGTCGGAGCATCCTGAGATGCTCTCTGTGACCTTCATGCTAATCACACAGTGAGGGGAATCATTACCTCCACCCCATGCTAGCATAATGACTTTCCATTAAATCTAAAGCATTACTAGAACATTTCTCCATTTTTTGCATTACAAGAACAGCATCTAACAGATGAATAAGGAGTATCCTGACTTCTAAGAACAGGCTAGGAACAAGTTGCATCTGAATGTACAAACCACTGCACAGGAGAATTACACTCTTTTGTCCCCTTATGATTCAATCTATCTTCCAATGTCAGTGTCCAAGCTTCATCTTGAAAGATGCAAGTTATCCCCATGACCATCCCTCTAGCCTAGGAATTAGAGAAATCTAGGATATAAGAGATGGATTTGAGTTGTGCCAAACTGATGGACTCGTTTATTAGATTAGTACACTAATAGTTAACCTCTTACATGGAAGCAGAACTTCAAGTAATTTAAAAAATAGTTATAATCTTCCTTCTAAATTTCATTAACTTGCAGGAGAACAGTTTGCATCCCACAATAAAAATGTCTGCTTGCAATCACACAGGCACAGGATAGGAGATAAATGTCCATCTCTAAGCACAGTAATGTTAATTTCCTGACTTTGGGCATCATCTCACTCAGTCTAAGTAGGTTTTTTAACATTGCTTTCTGTGCCAAATTCTCCCAGAGCACCATAAGGCAAGTTTTGCCATATTGTCCTCAGGTCCAGGAATGTACTTGAAAGTGACATCCCTAGAGTTCCACCTGTAGTATATACCTTGGTTTTTTTTAATCAGTCTAAATCTAAATCCCCTTTCAAATGGATATTTAACATTTTGGGCAATTTTTTTTTTTTTCAATTTCAATGGAAAAAAAGAAGTAGTTCAAAAATATAAACTACTGCAACTTAAAATACTTCAGCTGACTCACAGTATTTGTAAAGTCATACATTTTGTGCATGACAAAGAGAAAGCAAAGATGCTTATTTTAATAAAAAGAAAGCAATGAAAAAGAATCACATTAAGTCACATTATGTTTGTTGTAGGCTAAGAATAGAGTCAGAGATGGTTGCTATGGTTCAGTTGATGTGTAGCAATTTATTAAACCTTGGTTATGTGACTTGGATGCCTCAGTATCTCAGGGCACAGACACAGAAGCCTTTTAGAAAACTGAATTTAAAACACAAATCACTTTATTTTTAAGAACTGCCAAATCAGTGGGAAAAAATATTCAGGAAATTCTAAAGCAGAATGACGATATGAGGTTCCCAGATACTGTTAAACCACATAGTAGGTAATAACATCACACATCCTTTCTAGCTCTTGTAATATGTAGGTGTAATAAAGTACAGAATATTATTGACATTAAATAAGATATTGTTTTAGTTGAATTAGGCAGGTGTGAATGGTGTGGGACTCAAGGAGTTAAAGACAATCATTCAGCAAACCTGGAGCTGTTCAGCTGAAAATAACTTATACTCCTGGGCACAATATCTTCTACAAAACTGAACCTGGCACGGTGTAATACAGTAAAATTTTAGTAATAAATTTCTTTCCCTTTTCAAATTCTCTGCCAGAAATATCAATTCACCAGCCAACAATGAACAAACTACTGCAGAGTTCGAAAAGCAAGAACTTGCCAATCCTGCCATCTACTGGAAAAATCCTTACACCGAATAATTTACTTTTTCCACTCTAAGATTGGCACCAGATCTAGCAGTACATGCAACCATCAGGAAAAGCAGAGAGTCCTTAGATATCCAGTGGTGGAAAACTGCCTCCCTAGCAGTGAGCTTCCTTGATAATGATATCTGTGAGACAGGAATGCACGGCAGCTGTTTGCAATATATTTGGCTGTCATCAAGAAGCCCCATCCCAAAGCCCTCACTGAGTTTTTACCCAGTCTCTCACTGATTTTGTTAACAATTTTGCCTGACTAAAGGAAAAATAGAAAATGAGCAAGGGCCAAACTTGGCTAATGCTCAGTTTAAGAACTAAATATACCATTACAAACTGTACATCAGATATATCAAAGTGCTTTACAGCACTTAGAAGGCAAATACTAAAAGTATAATTTTTCTTGAAGGCATTTGTGATTCTTTCATTTCACATTCTCTACATAAACATCATCATCATATGGATTAAACTGAAAATCTTCTTTCGGTAAACAAGTGTTTTATATAGATTTTTAAAATTTTGAAAAACATCTTCGTAGTTCATTATTGTATGAATTAATATTGCCTACACAAGGGCTATATTCTGTTCTTTATTTCCTTCATATTTCTTCATTTCCCATTCAGTTTTTCAGACACCAATAGAGACAGCCCTAATGAAGATCCAGCTGTGAAAAAGAATTCAGTCACTTTTGGTAACCCAACTTTAAAAACAAGGTAAGAACTGTACCTTGACTACTCAGAGGAAAAAGCAAAGTACAAAATAATATAATGCCTTCACAATCCTCCATCAGTCTATTTAAAAACAGTCTCCTTGAAATGTAAAAATAAAAAAAAAAAAATTACAAATTGAAGATTTTCCTCCAACTTCCAAACAAACTGCAGGCTACCACATAGCTTTACACCAGTCTGCTGCATCATCAATATTACAAAGGTGGTTTTGTGTTCCACCTGAAGCTTTTTTTTCCCCTCTATAAGCTTATGAATATTCATGAATTTGCCTTCCCAGAGAAAGATAATGTGAAAGAGAGTAAATAAAAACATTTGAAAACAAGAAAAATCAGAGTGTGCATGTATTGCAGAATTGTAGAATGCAGGAACTAGGCAGAGATTTTTTCATACTTGTGATTTTGTCTTTAAGATATTTTTAATTTCCTTCCCACAAATTATTCTATTAAAATAAAATGGCAACAGTTTCAGACTTGGCAAAGGTTATATGTCATGTTTTCTCAAAAGAGGTACTGGTTTGTGAAAATTAGCTTAACAAGTTAACAGAAACTACTAGGGTTTTGAGCCTCTCTATTTTTTGTGTTTATTTCCACATTCTTTTCTCTCACTGAAACATGATGCCAAGTCACTCTACTTCCAGAAGTTATATTCTTATTGTGCTCAACAGTTCTGGTTATCAATGCCCTTAGGAAAATATGGTTAAGTTACTGTTTTTCTTACTGCATTAGTAAGAAGAAAGCATAATTATTTTTTTTTTCTTTCATTTTCCAAAACAATCCATTTCTAGAGCAGAAAAAAAAACCATAGAAAATTTCATCCCCCAAAACCTAATATTTTAAATTGCATTCGGGTTTAAGAAAAGCAGAAGAAAAATATAAGCTAAAATGGAATTTAGAGAGTAACTTCTCAATATACTGTGGGTTTTTATTTTTTATATTTTTGTGAAGTAAATGAAAATCAATCAAGAACAGTCCCTTACTGGTGTTCTGGGATTGCCTTGTAAACTACATAAAAATAGGGGAGTTTTAAGTTCAGAGTAATTTCTTCCTTGTTTTTCCATTTTGGTTCACTGGTCTAGCAACTGACAACTTGATTAATAGCACAAAGACAAGGATATTACACTGCTGCATATGTCAGTCATACAAACCACCTACTGCTACAGTCAGTAAGGAACAGTGAAAATAACTATAAATACAGAGGTATGATATGTAAAAAAAAAAGTTTGTTCCTTTCAGTTCCCCTTGTCCTTCTGTATTGTAATTTTTTTGTCATTGTATTTCTAATCTCCCAATTAGTGCTCAGTCTTTAAATAAGGTAAAAGATGCAGGTGGAAATTCTTAGCTTTCTCAGCTGATTAGAACAGCTTTATGGTATTACATCAGCTTACACCACCAGAGATCTGTTAAAAGTCAGTGATTTAACAGCACAAGTACATGAGTTCAGCTGGTACTGGACATTCAGCAACATAAAGGATTTGTGTCTGTCAGGAGATGTCCTGAGTACCACTGATTTTTTACTTCTGTGTATGTATGAAAACTTAATTCCCCCACAGCAGGCAAAAATTCTATTCATCTATTCAGATGTATAGCAGCCTGAAGCAATCCAACACATGGCATAGTTACAGCCATCATTTCCTTGGTTAACTCACTACATTAGGCTTTTCCACTTGGGAATTAAGTTTTTAGCTCAGTACTACAATATTTTTAACCCTTTGTGAGAAGTCTATAGCTGATAAGCAGGTAACCTTCCCACACCAAAGAGATGGTGGCTAATCTAAGGAACATATGTAAGGTGATTAAGAAGTCCTGAGATCAATTTTCTGCTAAACTGTTCTATATCTAACAATGCATCTAAAGAATAAAATCCTTTATGGTGAATAAAAAAGAAGAGACAGAAAAATTAGCCTTCTTGCTCCCTTAAGTTCACAAGCATACTTTCTTATTTCAGGACTCCACCACCAAGTTCAAGTACATCTATTCCTCTGACTGGAGACAGCCAGGCTGATGCTGACATCCTAGCTTTCATTAAAGCAAGACAGAACATCCTGCAGAAGAAAGGTAAATCCTGCCAAAAAATAAGAAGCCAAACCAAAATCTCCAGTACAGCATTTGGAAGTCAAAATAGCTTTAGTCCACATTACACTGATGCAAGTGAAAACTGATTCTGGCTTCAGTTATACTACATTATGTTCTCATCTGTTCTAAACACTTGAGGTTCTTCACATGTATTTCTAATTAGCTCAATGCTGCAGTGAAAAACGATGAAGGCTCTCTGTTTTACTAAGCCACCATCAGTGAATATCTGGGGCATGCATGGCTGTGCAACCTGCATAGTATATTATTTTACTCTTAAGCAAATGCATTTATTTGAATGAGGTTCCTTGATGATCCAAATTTTCCTGTATAGATTTTCTTCAAACTATGTGTCCTGGTTTTCATCTGGTACAAATTTAGTTGTAACAGCTGAAACCAAGTAAAGATAACTCAAATGATTGCACTGTACCCCTGCCTCAGGAGGCCAACTGGCCCACTGTACCTGGCAAAGAGAATATCCTCAACAGGTATTTCACTATGTCAGGGTCTAATGAAAAGTTCTATGAGTATTTCTCACCAAATCAGCTACCGAGAGCAATCATAGGAAGGTAATAAAGTTTACTCTAGAGTGTAGATAAGTAAAACTGGCAGGAAGCAGAAAGCAATAAATAAACAGTGGCATTGCAAGGAAACCTAAAATTTATTATGATAAAGAAAAATGATCTGTGCTTCTTTTTTTCCTGAATAATAGTTTTTAGTGGCAGCAACCAGTTAGACAGAATATGAGTGTGTTAGTGGTTACTGAAGCAATAACTTTCCATCAGCACTTCAGTGCTGATGACAGCATTTTCCAATAAGCTATCTGCACCAGGCAGATGGTGTTAACACTGTTAAAAAGTGGGGCTTTGGTATCACACTGCTTATCAGAAAACTGTCAGGTAAACACACACTGGCTGAAAAAACAGCCTCCCTACACTCATCCAAAGCATGCTTAGGCTTTGGGATCCCTTTTGTCTTTATTTAGAAAAGCTGTTGTCAGGTTTCTTTTGCAAATGAAATTAAACTGGATTTATATGCAGCTAATCAGAAGAAAGTCAGAGATAAATGTCTTACAACAAATATTTTGGGCCTTCAGAAGGCCCAAATCTGACTCAATCTGTGACATAGAGTAACATAATTAAAAAGTGCATATCTTGTCCTATGATCATCTCCTGAAACATGCCATAACAAAAATGTCTCTCTCACAAATGCCTTTTCCATCCTGATTGTTTTCAGCCAGTGGCAATCACCTGGCATCATCCATCAGTTTCAGAAGGGACTACACATCACCAACATTAACAACTATTTAGACCCCAAGTCATAAAAGATATCCTTGCTGAACAAAGGACAGTCAACACTTTAAAAATTATTCTGAATTTCAGTCATACAAGATGAGCTGCCCTAAGTAGATGAAAAAGAAATGGAGTAGCATTTGATCTTCCTGGCAGTGCAGGGCTGGATGACTCAACAAATTGCTAAGTATAAGCAGGAGAATAAAAATGTAAAGAGGCTATGTCAGTTCAACAAACATGTAGGGACCTGATGTGTCACAGACAAGAGACAGCTCAACAGCAAGTTCTGAGAAGGATTTGGAGTCAACCTAGCAGATAAAAAAAGGCTTTTCTTCCTTGTGAGGGAAGGTTAAACCTTCCAGATTTAAGGGATGGAGCCACTTACAGCATGAACCATTGAGCAAATAAAGTTTGAAAATTTTAATTTAGCAAGATAAAGGAGGAGAGCTAGAGGGTTTTCTTTTAGGGGGCAGGGATGTGGCCTATGAAGTCCCCATTCCTGCCCCCACAAAATAAAACTTTCAGATGTAAAGTAGTGTAAGGTAGAGAGGAAGAATAGAAGAAGAATGTAGTCTCACTTCAAACTTTGGGGGATAAACACTGTGTCATCAGTCACAGAATTTTTCCTGAAGAAATTTCAAACATATGAAAAATAACCCAAAGAGGAATTATTTACCCAGAACATTTTCACACAGAACCTAGGTGTGCTGAGTCCCACTTGAGTTGCTCTGTTGCTTCCTTACTAAACTCTCTTCAACTGAGCTGTCCAACAATCCTTTCTACATTTGCATGCAAATGTATTCACTCTCTGCATGGCTGTTGCACACACAGTGCCCTTCAGGAAACATGAGGAAGCATAGGGTCAGCCAAGCCAAAGTCTGCTGGGCTTAAAAACTGTCAGCATCCTCACTGCTCTTTCCTTTATTGATCCTGACCCTTTCAAACTGTTATATTAGTATCTTAGATGCAAACTGAGGGCCCTACTACACATTAGAGGGGAAGAAAATATATATATGTGTGTGTGTGCAGAAGCCAACAAAGTGGAAAATAAGTTTCATAAATAGAAAACATGGGAATGCTCAATATACTTGGTGACAGTAATTCAGGGATGGGAATGAGAGGTCTCAGTAAAGATTACCTCAGGGACTGTGGGTTATTACCATTTGCTTTCTAAACAGAGCAGAATTAAAGCAGGTACCTTCACAGGTTTTTGCTGGGATTGTTAAAATATTGTAATAACTAACACTGGAAAGCTTTTGTGAAAAGGGGTACTTGGCAAACATGCTTTTAATGCCATGTTCAGTGTTGGGGTAGAAAAATGAAAATGCACAAGAGTAGATGAATGATTTTTGTGTCTCAAAATATTTATATTAAAGGATATATTTTTTTTTCTTCTGTTTTGTAGTTCTGAAGTTTGTTTTAAAACTGACAACGCAACCTGAAATGTAGTCTAATACATTTCTTTATCTCTTTTCAGGCCTGGGGAACAAATAAAAAAACTAGTCCAAAAATCATTCTCCATCAGAAGCTTGATAATAACAGGATCAGTCAAGATATCTTTCAAGTTATTTTATCACTTAATTTAGAAACAGCTTATTTGTGTTGATGTAAATTATACTTCTGATCAAAGTGGTATTTTTTCTGGCTTTTGAAAACCAGTGAGGAAAGTGAGCAAACCATGTCGCTTATTTTTTGGCCTATATTTTATTTCACATCTATCTGTGTTCAAGATTTGTTAGGGGCTGTAAGAACAATAAGTAAAGCATTTAGTAAACACTGAATCCTTTGATTTGCTCCAAGTAATACATGAAAAGTGATTATTATGCATATTGTAAACCAGGATGTCATTTTGGTATCTGGCCTTTCCAGAATGGCTCAGATTTTCCATGGGAAAAGCTGGATCCTATTGGGTCAGTCTCACTGAGGAAGAAAGACAAGTGAAGGAATAATCAAGGAGAACATGCCCAGTCCTGGATTCAAAACATATTTTGTAAGAAGTCATTCCCTAGTTTTGAGACCAGATACCCTCTTCCATTCTACATTTGCAGGGAGCACTGGAAAAGCAGGACCTTGGAAGAACAGTCTACTTCCATGTTCAGCTACTATTCCTAAAGTTTGTAAACTCAGGTTTTGTTTATTTTTTAATCAGAAGAGCATTAGAAAAGCAACAAGAGAAGTTAAGACTAGAGAGTGTGCTTTGTCATCCTGTCATAAAAAGCGATTTGCCAGTATTGTTATTTCAGCATATTTTATATGATGTCTTTTTACCTGGAAGTCAAATTTAATTTCCAGTGTGGTAAGCCATGCTGAACTTCCAGAGGAACTGCTTTTCAGAACCCACACAAAAAACATAATTTTACCATAGTTTACTTCCAAATGTATATTTCTTTTTTTCCTGTGGCAAGGTATCATTTCTGGGCTGCTGCACAGATTCTGGCTTTATTTGGTTCCTACATTACAGCCTGACACTAGAGGGGGAAATAACTGTATTATAGAAATAAGCACACTTTTATGATGTTAGTGACTCATTTTGCAAAGCCTTAGAAAATTAAGATCCCAAAAGTAAGTCTGAGTGGACATATTTTCTTAAGGCATAATTTACACTGCCAACTTTGTCAGCTGGCATGCTTTGGTGATCAGAACCAAAAGAGCAGAAGGGAAGAAAAAATCTGATTATGTGCTGTATTTGTTCATTTGTACAGTATGGATTCATAATTGTGAAATGTACTTCAAATGAGAAAATTTGTCTCAGCACAGCTGTGCACAATTCCATGGTTTGCATCCATTCCAGAAAACCAGGAGGCTGGCATTCTCTGGTAGTCATAAGTCCTATCAACAGCAGCACAATGACCACCTGGATCTCCCAGCAGAGACAGCCCTGCTAGTGCAATACCCCAGGCTTGTCTACCCATACCATTGCACTGGGAATGGAATAAAAACCTATACCTTTTAGTTATGGAAGTGAGACACAAGAGTGATGTTAGATGCTGTGTAAGTAAATGTCATCCTTAGCACAGAAGAAGAGAAAGTCTACCATCAGTGATAATAAGCTGGATGTCTCAGCTGATTCAGATAATTTTGCTTCATAATGTTGTTGCAGTGCTCAGTAATATAACTGCTACTATAACTTGCATCTCCCAAACACTTCACTTTTTCATCTAAAAAGAAATACCAGACCACCAAGTTTCTGGGTCTTTACACATTTCACTTCCCTTTCGAAAACTTTCTGTTCCCCTACTCACACTGATAGAGCAGTCCCAGAAAAAAGACCAGGGTGGTCTCCTGGGAATTATCCACAATAGTTTTAGTTTTTCAGAGCGTGATAAGTGTCCTTCTGCTGCTGGTCAGTCAGCCTCCTCTGGATGATGGCCGGCCCCAGGTTATGATAGCAGTACAAATGGAAAGCTTTTGGAATTCTAGAAATACCAGATGTTTGAATAAAACTGGATCTTTTTCTCTTTGGAATGTCCCAAGCTTCTGTTACTCATTTCGTGTCCAATAGCGACATCCAGTCACTCCCTTTCAACCTTTGATGTGAAAGAAGGTTTTGAAAAACTCAGTCTTAGCAAACAGCAGCTAATGATAATGATAACAATAATAGAGATAAGCCAATTTAAATCTCCCCACACAAAATATTTTTATAATGAATTAGTTAATTGTATTTCATCTTCCAGTGGCTGGATTGGTAGCCTTTGTTTTGTGATAGACCAGAGGAGCTTTCATACAGCCTGATGCCAAGAATATTTGTTATTTCATATTCTGTTATTTGATGCGGGTGTAAGGTGGACAGAGTAAATTCCCTAGCAATCAGGTCTAAGTGGTTTTTCAATGAGCAAGTCTTTCAGTGCTTGAACACCACTTAGTGGGGGTAGGCTGGGGGTTAGAAAATAATCCCTTCATCTACTTTTTGTAGTTCAGAAATTATCATTTAGATACCTTGTGGCCAATATCAGTAATGTTTACCCAGCTCCTGCACCAAAATTCCTGCAGCTAGACTTCTTCAGGTCTGCAAAAATTGAGCTAAAACACTTGTGAACTGCTTTGTCTCCTGCTTATAACCCTCAGAGCTCCATGATGAGAACTTTTTTGACAAAGCAAAATTCCATCAACTCTCCACCTAGTTTTATTCAGACCCTTCTCTTGTCTGTAGCCAGATTTCTTTTTTAGTTGATGTAAAACCTTACAAGAAAAGTAGATGCATTTGTTTTGTTCATCACCTTTACATTTTTAGAGATTTCAGAGAGTTTTCAAATAAGAATTACACATTTTCCTAAAACGAGCATAGGTGTTTGTAGTTACACTGGAACTGAGCTGCTGAACACACACACACAAATATTTTGTAGGCATAGTATACGTAATTATTTATGTTTGCCTGTGCTCAGACACACACAAGCCCACACAAAGAGCAGGAGAGACACTTGTTCATATTTATTTCCCTTTTTCCTACTAGATAACATATTCATTGCTGTATCTGTAGCCCAAAATAATCACAAGGAGGAAAAAACAATTGCCTTATAAGCAGAAATAAAGATGAGGAAATGTTCCACTCTGGATGCAGTGAGAAATGTGGTATTGAAAGCAGTTCTGGAACAGGCAGTGTGGACAAAAGAAGAGATCTTTTCCCAGGCCTGAGCACCTTGTATTTCTCACAACACAAATATGGCATTGCTGCTTCAGGGCCCAGGACCAACTCATTGCAATGCAGCACTCCAGAGGGAGGCAGGGCAATTTGCCATGACACCTTTTCCATCTTGCTGCCTCACTTACTGCTGCAGTTACAGATGGCCAACATTTGTGTCTTAAACATTTATCCTGCAAAATAGCAACTTTTGTATAAAAATGTATTTGGTGCACCAAAATATTTCCCTTAAATTTAAATTTTCATCTTGTTTCAATCTTCAGAAAACATTTTGAGATTTCAGATGTTGTTTTTTCTCTTTTTTGTCACCTCCCTTCTGTCTCACACTGTTCTTTGAACACAGTAGATATTTGCCAAGGTTGAAGGATTTGGTGGGAGGGTCATTTTCTCCTTTTTATTCCCACTTATTTATTGTTTTTCCAATTATTTAAGGCTTTACCTATATTGTTAGTGTAGTGCATTAAAAGTTTGGCTAGCACAGGATCTCAGCCTCCTATCACACCTCTCAATGAAATAAGTACAAGATTGTATTAGAATAATATTTTTTTCTCCTTTACTTGAAGTTTGTAAAATGACCAAATAAATGTAAAAATAGATAAGCGTTTCTTAAAATTTTGACATTGAGGTTCTCCATGCACTCAGTGGTAGATGGAAACTATTACTGGGAAAGAACCAGAAGTGAAAAATTTTACAAATATTTTGGGTGAAGGAATACGAGTTGTCTCAATTTGAACTCTGTAATCTAAACAAAGTTATAACTTCAAAATTAAATGAATATTTCGAAAACTCCACTTACTGTCTCCGTGCCTTGTACATGCAAGTTGAGGGCAGGGTCTAGATGGGCTTTGGCTGAAAAGCAGTACTTCAAGTCCACAAGACACCAAGAAACACCATCTCTTCAACTCAGGTTACATCCCAAAATCAGACCAAGACTTTCAAACTCCTGGTGAGCTGGAAATTCGGAGAATATTTTCTTATGAATACAGCAGAACATGTTGCTTCTAAAACAAAGCCTGTCTGCTCAGAGCTCCAGATTCCTAGGCCTGCAGTAGTCCTCAAGGAATCAAGCTGTTTTTCTGCTGAGTGTATTTGAGATGTCCCAGTTTATTTTTGACAGGAGTTGTTGCCAGGCTCAGTGTCAGAGTCTAGAAATCAAGATGAGATCCTTCAGCACAGTGAATCTGTATTTTGCATCTTGGCTTTCTCAAAAAAAAAAAAAAAAAAAAAAAAAACAAACCCTGGAGTGGGTGGACTTTGCACCTCTCTTCTTCAAGTAGCCAATAGTTTGTTTAAAGATTATATAAGAGGTTTTGACTGATTTCAAGGCTCTCCCTGAATCCTACATGTCTCCTGTTTTTTGCTGGTGGGTTCAGCATTTTGTAGTGACCCAAACTAGTTCAGGTCCTACAGAGGTACTCTGTGAAAGGACTAGGTTCTAAAAAGATTCATAATATTAAGGAAAAACTTGTTACAAGAAAGAGAATATACAGGGATGATGAATAATTACTCTCACAGAATATTAACAAGGTATTTATTCCCATGCAGAGAAGTGGATCATCTATTTCACTTGGAAAGGTCAGGTTTTTATGTGCCTTGCTATGACACCCATGGGTGAAGCTCTTTGAGAGCAGTTCTAGAAAGCTGCTGTTCCATTTCTGAGCATCTGAATGATGATTATAACACCACGTGTACAAACGGCCACCATTGCTAGGATTTTATAATTCGTGGCTGTTGTCAGAAGTTGATGGTTTTTGGCCATCCGTGTGAAAATGGGAAAGGCTGCCAGGGGTATGGCTCACCTCATGGAGAGCCCCCAACACAACCCCCCAAGAGAGGCAGGGCTGGGGGCAGGAGCACAGGGGGTGGTCACCCGGATTGTCCCTCTGGGAGTGGGAACAGCGGCAGCAACTTCATGGCAGAGCAACGCGGGAGGAAAGGCAGAACAAGCAGCAGGGAAATTCACCCCAAAATAACAAGCTGGACTTCACAAAAAGGAAAGGCCACTGTTTGAAAGACAGTTTGAAAGGAGTTAAAAAAGAATGAGTGGATGCCACTCAATGCTTCTGCAGTTCCAAAGAATTCCTGTTTTATAAGGAAAACAACGCAGGAGGACAATGTGGATACTTGCAGCGCTTTTGAAGCAGTAGATTTTTTTTTTTTTCCCTGATAGAAAATAAATTGGAACTGCTTCCATGAACAAGAGGCATTGGCTACAGGAGAAAGCAGGAGCTTTTGTGGAGATTTAAAAATAACCAAAAGTAAGGAGTGCACTGGCAAAGCATTCTGTTTTCTGAGCATTGCACGGAAAACACAACACAGCCTCAGCGCCTGAGGAAGGGAAAGGCTATGAAAGCAGATTGGGAGACATAATGTGGTAAACTTCAGATTTGCCAGATTTTGTTTTGGAAGCCAGTGTTTGATGATAGGTTACCTCATGACGGGAACTGGATTGCAGACTTTGCCAGCTCTTTACCCAAACATCTAAAATCTTTCAAAACATTTTTCTCCAGCAGACCAGTTTAATCCAACAAATTATACTACCATGTACTGTGTCCCAACTCAGCCTGGTGCTTAAAGCTTCCCATAATTGAATTTTCATAAATTCCAGGCAAACATCATGTTTTGCTGTGCTCTTGCAGTACCTGGCAAATAAATTTACTGTACAAATATAGTACACTCAACCCCCTTAATGCATTAACCTCAGCAGCTTTAACTTTTTAAAGGCATTTACTTAACTTTTTTTTTTTTTTTTTCCATTGATAAGGATAAAGCAATGTTGGTGGTGTTACCTGATTCCTTACCTCTCTAATTACACTATTGCCAGCATATCCTTTGCTGCTGGAGACGGGTTTTGTACTGGGAAAGCTTATTTTATTTTTCTGAATGAAAATAAGCTTCCCAGCATGCCCAAATACACAGCATAAGACACTTGCTTTGGTAAAGAGAATTTGGTACTTAAATTTAGAGGGTTTTTTTATTTTATTTTACTGGGGGTGAGTCTCCAATGAGTCACAAAAAACTCAATATTACAGCCAAAATGTGTTTATCAGACAGATGTTGAGAAAAAAATACACTGTTTTTTTTCTGCACTGGCTATAGTTTAATTATTCTCTATTGGTTTCACTTGGCCTAAATGGCTGTATGATTCTTTATTTCCTTCTCCCATAAGAAATACAGAATTGCCAATTAAAAAGGTTGAATATTTCAATATCTGTGTCCAACTTTCCTGTCCCTTGTAGCTGTGCATCAGCCTGCACATTTTAGTTTTTCTTTGACTTTTGTCATCAAACATCTCTAAAGTTGAAAGGGACTAGAAATTACTTTTGGGATAAGTTTTGTTGTGTGAGGTTTTTCTGTCAAATTTCTAGCTTGCACCAGTGAAAAGCTTACAGTGACTGGGCCAGCTAAACCTACTCCACCAAGTCTGAAGCAGAGGAGGGACAATTGTGACCTGGTTTCTTTAGCATAAACCTCCTGGAATGAGGCAAGTAAAGGCCTCTGAGAGGGGTTGTTGGATTGCACAATCTGCTTGGATCCTGGCCCTGGGCAGAACAGCCCTTAAATTCAAGATCAGACCCTTTGGTCCCCTCAAGTCAGCACAGAGGACTCCCCAAGGTCTCTCCTTTGGGGCTCCATGGGATGGATACATATCTGCAGCTGGGAAACAGCAGCTGTTATCAGAAAATTTGGGAAGAACTGCTCTGGTAAAATTTGGGATTCAAGTTCAGGCATCAGTGGTGATACACTGTCAGAATGGCTCACTCACTCTCTGCCAGGCTGGTGTGGCCTCAAAGGCTGCTCCTGCTGATGGCAGGGGTGTGAAGCCTGTGCTGAGCAGGCAGTGGTATCACCTCAGAACACCTTCTCACAGCAGGGATGGAGAAGGACCAACCTCAGCATGTGGAAAAGGATATCTACAACTGAACACTCAGGTAAAGTGACCAGAGAGTGTGCTCAACATAAACCAGGTTACCTTCACATATCCAGGGCTAATGACTCTTGCACCTTCAGAGCTACAATATCACGTTCCTTGGGTTTTTAATCGCCTCTCAAACAGACAAATACTCCCCTAGGAGGCTGCCCTGCCATGTGCACTAGAAAGCCTGGCAGGAGACCCAGCTGGTGGGAGGAGGGCAGCTGCAAGTAGGCAGCCCCCAGGAAAACATGGGAGTTTCAGTGTTTTCTGAATCCTGAGGAATGGCAACTCAGATAGAAGGGTGTACTCACCGTGGAGTGACTTATCCTGTAAGATTTCTGTCATTATGGCTCTGCTCCATAAAGGAAGAGATGGTTTTGTTGTCAGCTGTGACATTGTGCTCATGGGCACTCTGTGCCCCATTCCCTGGGACCCCTGTGACTCTGATCAAGATAACCCTGGATCCTCCTTCCTGCCCCAATGGGAAGCCCACCCTGTCCAAAGTCTATATAGACCCCTGACATTTCCTGTTTGTCCTCTTTTGCCCCACTCTCCCCTTGGACATCACAGAATAAAGAGAGCTGAACCAACTTATCTCGGGGTAAGAGCCTCTTTTGGAAATCTTTGCCATCTCCTGATATTCCTCCCCTCATAGCCTCAAATCTCTGGGCTAGCCTGATTATTCAGGGGGCTGTGTGAGGGGGGGAACGTCAGTCAGCTATTTTTATTGTTGCATAAGTTAAAAATGCTATTTTAATACTATTTTTTATTTTACAAGAAAATATTTTAAAACTTTAAGTGATAGATAAAAGTATACTCGAAAGCTAAAAAGAGCAAATACGTATAATACTTCTCCCTCTTTGAAGAATTAGTTTTCATTCAAAAATACGCTGATGGGGATGTGCTTTTATGTATTTTGAGACCTTTACAGATTTATTCTCCAGATTTTTTTGAGTTCATAGAATCGTAGAATAGTTCAGACTGGAAGGGACTCTAAAGATCACCCCTCTGGCTCTAACACAGCACCTGGATGTTGACAAAATGAGGCTGGTCATAGACATTGGAGGTCCCTGTCCCACAGGGAGAGGATATGCCACCATCACCTGCAGGGAGAGTCTCATTCCCAGACAACAGTCAGTGACTCCACCCCTGCCTGCAGCTCTGTGTGCATCCTTGGGGTGGACACCTGCCCTTGTTTTTCCCTCTGGGGTCCCGGGAAGAGAACCAGGTCCATCCATCTGACAATTCCAGGGCTTGCAGGCTTTGGGGCTTTGCAGTTGTAGTGCTTTGTCACAAGGTGGCAGGGATGTGACACTGCCTGGCACACTTTGGACCTCAGATCCTTGCTGCTTTCTTCCTTATCCAATATGGATTTATCAGCAATCTTCTGTCTTTTCTTTCAAACTGTCCTTGAGATAGTTCAAAGAGAGGGTAATTAGTTATTTCAAAGCCTAAATATTTTACCTATTTGCACTCAAGAAAAAGGCAAAAAACTGCTTTGCATCCCTCTGCCTGGAAGTCGTTGTGATATAGGGAAGAGAGGAAGGGGCTGGCCTGGGTCAGCTTCTGCTGAGCCTCAGCTTTGGCTGCTGCTGCTTCCAGGTTAAACACAAAAGCTGCCATGATCAAAAAGCCCTTCTGTCCTGAGTCACAGGGACCATTTCTTCCTAAATAACTGAGGATGGAAAATCATTCTTGTAGCTTCAAAAGGAAAAACAACCTACACACATGTATAGGTGTGAATATATACACATATATTTCCTTCAATGAAAAAGAAAATCTTACAAATATAATACTGTCTCTGGCTTCCTAGAGAAGATCCTTAACTCTGGACTTCTGAAACCAAATGTCTGTGCATTTATAGGACCATTTCCT